CCGTGGGAGGCAGTTTTCATCCTCCCAGAGGCTAGAGGAAAGCCTCCGGAGCCTGGGGAAGGTGAAAACGCACCCCCCCACCACCACCATGGTGCAGGAGGCCAACTAGGCCCTGTCCACTATGGCCACGCCCACCCAGCAAACAGGCAGAGAACCCGTTGCTGAAATTTTTGAAGCCCACCTCTGATTTAGCTTGGAATTTCCTGTGAGTCATGCATGGAATAAATCCTGCACTTAGAAATATGCATGCTAATTTAATGGGTGTAGGCAGGGAGAAAAAAAAATGAAATAAGAGTCCATGTATTTACAAAACTTCTAGCAAGCGATTAAGTTACCTGATGAGGACATTTTTCTTCTTCCTGACCGCTTGCCTCAGGGGCTCTCTCAGGGTCACCTGAGCAAAGTCCTGTAGAGCAGCATAGATTGTGTTCCTGATAGCCTGGTTGAAGACGCTCTCCATGCGACCCATAAGCACTTGCAGGCCCTTGATCATAGCAATAACCTGCATAGATTAAAAATAGTTGGTGTGGCTCTTTTAACTATACTAGGCCCATTCGCAGGCAATCTCAGGACAGCATCCCAAAGGCACTCTTCCCAGTGGTGTATTAACCATTAAGCAGACTAAGCACAAGCTTAGGGCACCAGGCCCAAGGAGGGCACCACAAAGTTGAGAAAGAAAGAAAGAAAAAACAATGAAGATTTGTACAGTATGTACGAAGGAGGTGGGTACCAAGATTTGTCAGTGCTTAGGACACCAGTGAGCCTTAATCCACCACTGACTCTTCCTGTGCTATCCTAAAAGCCCTGGATTTGAGTGGACTTTCTCTGCATACAAGTGTACAAGAACAAGTCGAGAAAACAGGACAGTTGTAAATTGAAGACAGAAATGTCTGGATCCTCCAATATTCCATTTCAACACAAGATTGCTTCAGTCATCCATTCAAGTAAACTATCTATCCTGGGCAAAAATGAGGGATTCATCCACCTACCTCCACAAAAGCAAACTTTTCCTCACTGGTATAATTGTATCTTGTAGCTCTCTCATACTCTTCAGCAGTGCCTGGACAATCTTTGTTACAGAACTTATCTGTCGGGTGGACTAGCTTCCAAGAATACTTCGAGGAGAAAAACAACAACAGAAAAATCCAATTGGAAAAATCCAATATACTGATTTCTTGGAAAATATTAAATTCAGCCTAGAACATAATTTCTCCAGTATATGTAGCAGAGGTGGTACTCAGCTGGTTCTCTCTGGTTCGGGCAAAATGGTAGCGGTGGCTGCGGGAGGCTCTGCCCGCCTGCCCTGATGTAATGGGCAAGCACTGCGTATGCGCAGAAGGCAGTGAGCATGTGCAGACGCACGCACACTCACATTTGCGAACTGGTAGGAAAGATACATGAATCCCACCTCTGATATGCAGATTATATTTTTTTAAGTTAGGTTTTGTGAACAATACACAGGCATGCACATTTTTAAATAAGTTCAATTTTTGCAAGCTTTAGAGGAAAAGTAAATTAAAACATGTTCAAGACTCTGGTTTATCCTGAAGGCAGCTCTACCTTAAAAACCAACATATAAATGTATCAGGAAAAAAAAAACCTTACCACTTCCATCACATGTGCACTCCACTTGGACAAAAGTTGAAGTCCCCGTAAAGCCAGGTCAAAAAGCTCCCTATATTCTTCATCTGACTTCTGACTGTCCAATCCTGAGCCTGTTACAACCTGGAAAAGGAGTAGATATCTGTCTCACTCAGGAATCTTTTCCTTTCGTTGCTTCATGTTGCTATTTTCATTAACTGAGCATGACATTGCAAATATTTACCAACAAGAGTTAACTGATGGATAGAGGGAATGAGGGGAAGAACTGAGAAATTAATGTATTGATTTATTTACTCAATTTCTATAACAGTCCATCTCAATCAATGACTGTGGATGGATTTCAAATCCAGAATTACTGGAAAGCTTCCAAGATAAAATACACAGATGGCTGACATCATAATGACATGATTCCTCCAATCAGTTTCATATTCTAGTCCTTCACCTATGTATCCCAAACAATATAGTTCAAAGATAACACCCAATTATAAAAACTTCATTCAATTTCCTACATGTTCAAAGATCTAGAAAGATCTTCAAAGAAAAATGTAGAAGTACCAACACCTGAATTTCTTCATTATTGTAACTTTCACTGAATTCTTTTGGAAACATTTTGGCTAACAGTAAATATCTAGCTCCTGTAAAAGAGAAATTCAATGATAACTTCTCCTTTGGGTTTACATATGCAAATATACTGTGTAGCATAGTGCCCTCTATTGTGCAGGCAACCATCTGCCCACTAACTAATTGTGAATGTTTTTAAAACTTTGAAATGAGAAAGGCCTTAGCTATCCAACCTATACAGGTGGTAGGTTTAAACAATGCTGAACAGTATATTATCTGACAGCACTAAAAGCAATTTGGGAGGCCTAGTAGCACCTAAAGGTAAAGGTTCCTCTCACACATATGTGCTAGTCGTTCCTGACTCTAGGGGANTCAACTTAATACCAATTGTTTAGCAACTATTTTGGGTTACGATGGTTATAAGGGCCTTGGAAAGGTGCTGTCATAAAATGCCACACTGCTCCCCTGTTGGTCACATGACCCCCATTTTGGGTGCTTGGCAACCAGCTTATATTTATGACTGGTTGCAGTATCCTGCAATCACGTCATCATGATTTGCTACTTTTGTGGTGGTTTTTAATGTTTTACATTGGTTTCTGGCAAAAAAACATACATTCGGGAGAAAGGGTTATCCCTTACAACCACGTGATTCAATTAAAGGCCCCATAAAAATGGTTGTAAAATCAGGTCTAGTCACATGGGTGCCTTGACTTACAACTGTCATGATTTATGACTGAAATTCCAGTCTCAATTGTGGTTGTAAGTTGAGAACATATTCATATTCAGTGCAAACTGAGAAGAGAGGTGGTATCAGTCCATATCAGCTATTCCACAGCTGAGGGTGTCCTATTGATCAGGCCTGCTCAAAGGAACTTGGAAGATGGAACTCACTTGGAGATCGGAATCTCAGCTGAACTTCCCTCCTTGATCTCAGTGAAAAAACAGATTCATTTTGTAGCAGAGAAGGTTTGCTACTACTGTTATAGTTACAATGATCTCTTTCAAAGGAGGAAGGTAGTCTCTGATATGTACAAGTGGATAAATAATAGAATACAGGTGATATTTAAATTATGACTGTAATGGAGACTGCCTGGTATGATCGTAAGAGATGACAGTTGTAAAGCTGGTGGATCATGTGATCAACTCATTTTACGATGTTTTTTGCAGCAGATGTTAAGTGACCACCATAGCAATAGCACTTAGACTTATATACCGCTTCCCAGTGCTTTACAGTCCTCTCTTAAGCGGCTTACAGAGCCAGCATATTGATTTCAACAATCTGGGTCCTCATTTTACTGACTTCAGAAGGATGAAAGGCTGAGTCTTTGTTTACATCGCCAGTGTGAAACTGAACAGTATAATAAAATAAAATTATTCTAAACATCTGGTTGACAAATTAACCTGCATCTTCTTAATAAAGGAACAGATACCTGTGTGCTTGAAGGTCCAACTGCTCGTCGTGGGACTTTAATATCAAAACCACCTTTGGGATCTTTCTCCCCTCTCAGACAGGGATCATTTGGAGGCTCACGTCCTCCCTCCCAATCACAGATTGTCTTTCTAATTGCCTGAAGAACACTGGAAAGGTGAAGAGTGGATCTATCATTGAACTGAATTGCTGGGTTTACAGTGAAGACTAAATAATCAATTTAAATATGAAGTACCATGGTTCCCCAAAAATAAGACATGGTATTATTTTCTTTTGACCCCTGAAATAAGCACTTGGCCCTTATTTTCAGGGAGGTCTTATTATTTTTGAGGTGCAGGAGGCGGCGAGCGTGGTCACTTCATGGCTGCTGCTGTGTTGCAATATTTTCGGGGAGGGCTTATTTTAGTGCATGCACTCAAAAGCCCGATTGAATTTATTATCCGGGGAGGTCTTATTTTCAGAGAAAAAGGGTAGAAATATAATTATGTAAGTACTGCATGAAGCTTTAGTAATATTGTACAAATCTGATATTTAATGATAGTAGCATCAGCACTAATTAATAAAAAAACAACGCTACTATTTTGATATGTAAAAAGAGTTAAGTATCCCATACCACATTAAAGGGCTAATTTCAGTTGCTAATTCATTCAGAGCAGCAGATGAATGAAGACTGTTTTCAGTTACACCCACACATACATACGCATTATATACACCCACACAGACAAAGAGATTGTGTGTCTTGATGGAAGCGGTGGTGGCGGGGAGAATAGGAGAAACAAAATGTTCTGATAGTCTATTAAATGACAGCCGATAGAAACTAGAGAAAAGTAAAAACTACAACCCCAAAGCTTCATGATTATAAGAGACATGACTATAATCCATGTCCTATCAAGATCTTCTCTATGGAAGCAATTACTGGCTAAATATCAAGCATATGTGGATACTGTCTGGAATGGTGATTTTCTAAATACAAATGCTTGGGGAGACAGTGAGTATTTGAAAATGCCTTGCTTGACCCCTTGTTCCAACTAACCTGGCACTGTTTATACTTCTTCCAGTTCTCTACACTTGCAATCTAAGTATTTTCCAAGCTTTCTACCTTTGAATTGGCAATATTATAAATTTAGCCCAGGGGTGGGCTGCTACGGATTCGCCCGGGTTCAGGAGAACCTGTAGCTAATGTTATGGCC